GATTAAAAACAAGCTTAGATTTGCCAACCTGTTGGGGCATATGGGGCACAGCAGGTGTATTTGAAAATAACTTAGTTTTTTGAACACACTTGATTATCAATGTTAATTTATTCGTTTGCTGGAAATTAGAAATGAGTTATTAAACTGAGTTATAGAGTTTTAAAACAAATTTTTGCGCTTAACAAACAAAATTAATTATTTATAGGCTAATTGATGTCTGTGCGTAAAGGTTTCCCTATCCACGAGAGCAAAAGCGAAAGTGAACTTACTTTACATCATGTAAATAGCAAATGCGCTCATGACGTGACGCAACTGGCTCTTAAAGGTAATGGGAGATGAGTCGCTCATTGGTTTATTCTCAAAACACACCTATAACTCATTAACAAAATAAACTCAACCCTTTTAGACCATGCGCCATGGAGCAAAACGGATTTTCCCGTCCTTAAATTAGCAAGTATGGATTCTGACACGCCCTCAAACATTTTATTGAGTTCTACTTTAACTTCTTTGATATTATTAAAAATATCTGGATATTTACCATATTTAGTCTCTAAATCTTTAAGTTGTATATTTAGATTATTTATGCAATTCCATTTTTTTTCTTGATCCCCACATTATAAGTTTACCTCGCATAACAGCTTTAGCTGCGTCCCATCGATACTAGGTGACACCTCTGCATTATTATTGTTATGTTTTAAATATTCTAATAGTTCTTTTTTAACATATTCTACACACGTTAAATCATTCAAATGTTTAAGTTTAAATCGCCAAAATGTCTTACTTGGTTTATTGTCCAGGTACACTCTTAAACATACTCCTGCATGGTCTGAGATGTCCCTTGTTCCAGTTTTATGGTCTTTTATTTTATGTTGATCTGACCTAAACATAAAAAAAACAAAAAAAAAAACAATTCTATAATGAGACATGTGGGCAGAAGAGAAGAAAGTATATTCTTTTTTTAAGAGGGTATATTTCTCTTCATACATCTATCGAGCCTAATTATTTCATCAAATATCTTATTTGTCTAGTTTCTTGACTAATTTGCTTATTAGAAGATGAGTCCAATTTTAGGCTGAAGTTGTACATTCCAGTCTCCCTCACAGATCAACGTACCTGATGTCTCCTTGGCTATGACACTTACTATTTTTTTGAGAAATGCTTTGTCTTTTTCAGGTGGTCTATATATACTAACTAATGTAACTTTGTATTGGTCGATAGTTTCTTTAATTAGGTTATATCGCCTTTCTTTATCAGTAATCTTAGAAATTAATTGGAAGTTGATTTTATTTGAGATCAATGTCATTACTCCTCATTTACAACCATTATTATATGAGGAAAAAAAAAAAAAACTAAATCCCATTGTTTCTGATTTCCTATGTTCTGTATCAGAAAGATGTGTCTCTTGCCAGAAGATTATCTGTTGGTTTTCTCTTTTAATTTTAGCCACAGGTTTGCTTCTTTTAATCGGATTTAGTAACCCATTAATATTCAAAGTAATTACTCTATATTTCTGTTTTTGCATAATCAGATGTTTTTGCGAAGATCACTGTGATCGGAACATGAAAAACACAAACATGAATATCTTGAACCACATAAAAAAACATTACGAAAAAGATTTCCAAACCTTGAAGTCTTAAATAACTTCTTAATGTGAGGGGAAAGCCTTCCTTCTCTAAAAAGCCCTTCCTTGCTGTGCCTATTGTTATTTAAATATGGTTTAGGTTATCATATATGACGTAAAAAGGAAGATTAATACCAGTGTGTATAGGAGCTCTCTTTCTCAGCTTCTTAAGCTGCCCCGAATGAGTGAAACTCTAGGGTTGGGTATCGTTTGGTTTTTCGATACCGGTGCCAAATTGATACTTTTAAAACGATACCTGTGCCAAAACGGTGACTGAATCAACACTTTTTAGCCACAAAATGATGGTGGACGACTCTTCAAAAATATTTTATTTGACAAATGATTTTTTCAAAATAATTTTAATAGAACAATATAATTACAGTTTAAAGTAAACATCAGTTAATATTGTATTACATTAATACATTTCCTTTGATCATTTGTTGGTTAGCATGAATTTAAGATTTGCATTATGAAATTACATTAGCTTACTATTTACCTGTGGGGGGCGGGCAGGGGCCACATACTTTTAGGAGCACATTTTAACATGTATATCACAAAATACTTAAAACATTATTGGAAGTCATTTGTTTTCATCCATCACTCTGCAGTCTTCATAAACAAGATAATTAAATAACTTAAACTCAAAATAATCTTCCTTGTTCATTTATTTGACAAGTAACGTTGGTGTAGGAGAACACATTTCTAACATTCAAGTACATCAAGGCACATTGTTGCACCTGTAAACTTTAACAGGCCTACAGTTGAAGTCGATTCATTTTGCCCTCCCATTCATTTAAAATAATGTTTCTGAAAACTTTTACAGTGTTTCCTAAAACATAATTATTCTGGAGTCATAATAAGTCCTATTTCTTATTGTTTATTTCATGAATAAAAGCCGTTTTTAATTAAAAAAAATAATAATAAGGTCAGTAATATTAGCCTCCTTAAGAAATATTTACTGTACATTTTTGATTTACACAACAAATCAGTTACAAAATAATTTGACTAATTATTTTAACTTTCGTAGTGAACTGATTAAAGGGGTGGTCCAGAATGTAATTTTAAGGCTTGGTTGTGTTAATAAGATGCAAAGCAATGTGTGCTCATGTTTCACTTGAAGGAAATCATGTTATTTTTTCATATATCTCACTTTGATTATACACAGCTACTCAGCTAACATGAAAACCACTGTCATATTTCCTAGTTCCTCTAAAAGGCCCACCCTCAAGTGACTCTGATTGGTCATCATCATAATGTGCTGTGATTCGCCGATCGGCTCCACGTCACGCCCGGAGAAGCACGCGCGTTGTGTGTAAACAGTCAGTCAGTTAACACGTATCTGTAACGAGTGAAAATGGGATGCGGCTCCTTTAAAAGTGTTTCTGTGCCATTTATTGTGTTTATGTGTGTGCGTGTATATACTATGAAGTGTCTGTAACATGAGAAGCGCATGTGCGCGGGATATTTATTGTTCTTTTTCTCTCATGCTCGGATTAAGTTATTTTCTGTGGTGACAGATTAAATCACAAGATGTGAGATGAGACCCGTGTGAGCCTGGATTGATTTGTTTTTGCTGTTACACTCCAGTTGGGAGAGCATTGCTGTATTTTTTATTTTTTTTAATCAATGCGTTACAGGATGTCTTTCACGCATATCCGGAATATGCCTGTGTAAGTAACATGATTCGTTCACATATCTTTTGCGACTTTATTGTCTTGAGTTGAACGCATGGAAAAGCTGCCTGAAGACAATCAGTGCAGTCGCGCACACACATAAGAGACACACTGCCATCTCACACAGAGACGCGCATGCTGGCCAAGAGTGCGTGTATGTATGTTTGTGTATGTGTGTGTGTTTACAGCCGTTTGACTGATAAGTATGGATTTGTAGCTAAGTCGTTAGCGATGAATATAATTTCCCGTTATTTACATTTATGCTACAACACACCGTTAAGGCTAGACGCTGAACATGTCATGATCAATTTTAACAAATAAAAACACTTACAGGTCATGACTCAAAGTTCACAGCGTCTCCTTGCTCCATCTTTGAGGAGATTTTAGCCGAATCCAGCACTGAACTGGGAGAGATTCTGGAAGCTGCGTTTTGTCAAATCATGCTTGCTGTGTATTTTATAGTTCTCTGGAACATAATTAATATTGAACTGTAAGCACTTCTGTGTTTGGGTCGTGTCATTTGGAAGCCCAACAACAGAAACAGAGAAGTTCTGTGGAAACAGCAGGATGGCATTTCTCCCTCTGCAATGCAGTAACGTTACAGCGCCGCTGGCAATGGCCTTTACCTGTGCTGTGTGGGACGCGCAATAACGAACTTTTGTGATCTCACAGTATTTTTTAGAAGTATTTTTTGTAGTCCCCAAAATTCGTTCATTGTAGGCTTTGCTAAGCTAACTCTGTAAAAATCAACGTCTCCCTTTGCATTGAACTTTGAGCATTTTACATTCAGAGATGCTGTTTATGTTCACACAGCTACATTACACATCAACTAAAGTTTAAAATATGAGATCATAGTGGACCACCCCTTTAAGTCTAAATTACACTTCAATCTGAATAAAAGACTATAAAATACTTAAAGGGACTTTGTCTGAATACTGTCTTGCAAAATAACTAGTAAAATGTTCTGCACTGACTGTCAGCATAAAAAAGTAACGTTAGATATTAGAAACGAGTTAGTTAAACTATTATATTTAAAAATGTGTTGTAAATAAATCATGTGTTCAAGACGGAAATCAAAAATGAATAAAGTCAAAACTAAACGAGTTGAATATGACTTACATGAGCGAGACTGAAAACTACATTTGATCAATGTGTTACATCTGTTCTACATGTGTCATTAAATTTGACATGTTACCCCCTTAACATTACACGCACTTTTGTGAAGACAGTTGCTGTGTAAGAATCCTTGCTTGTAAAATTTGCTTTAGAATGCTTAGTTTAAGCAAATTGGATGAACGTGATCACGCATGTTGATCTGAGTGTGTCGCTCTCGCTCACCGAAAACCACTGGTTCCAGGCTAAATGCGCTGTACTGCGTGCGTCTGTTCCCTAGCGACAATAACAATTGCTTGATATCGCTTGTCCGTATTCCTCAAAGTTGTTTAGAATTAAATGTTTAGTGATGCTGTGACACAACGCCTATATGTGCCTTTTTTCATGCACCCCTCACGTTCATGTTGCAGCACCGAAATTAAGCACCGAAATTCATATGCTGATTTAATACCGATACATACCAGTTACCAAGGTAGCGGTGCTAAAATGGCACCGGGTTTCGGTAACCAACCCTAATACACACTGATCATGTCTACAGTTTATCTCCAGTGTAAATCCTCTGATGTGCTTTCAGGGTTCCTGAGTGAGCAAACCTCTTACTGCACTGTGAACACTTGTACAGTTTCTCTCCAGTGTGAATCCTCTCATGTGTTTTCAGGGTTCCTGAGTGAGTAAACCTCTTACTGCACTGTGAACACTTGTACGGTTTTTCTCCAGTGTGAATCCTCTGGTGCCGTTTCAATTCTGCAGCTGTGATAAAAGTCTTCTCACACTCCAAGCACATATACTCTCTCACACCAGTGTGAATCTTCATGTGTTTTTTAAGGTATGATTGGCTAAAACTCTTCCCACAATGAGTGCATTTGAATGGTTTCTCTCCAGTGTGGATCATGAGGTGTTGATTAAGGTGTGATGAGTGGATGAAACTCTTCCCACACTGAGTGCATGTGAAAGGTTTCTCTCCAGTGTGGATCCTCATGTGTACATTAAGGCATGATGATTGGATGAAACTCTTCCCACACTCAGTGCAAGTGAAAGGTTTTTCTCCGGTGTGGATCTTCATGTGTCTATAAAGCGATGATGATTTACTGAAACTCTTCCCACACTCAGTGCATGTGAATGGTTTCTCTCCAGTGTGAATCCTCATGTGTAGATTAAGGGATGATGATTGGGTGAAACTCTTCCTACACTGAGTGCAAGTGAATGGTTTTTCTCCAGTGTGGATCTTCATGTGTCTATAAAGCGACGATGATTTGCTAAAACTCTTCCCACACTGAGTGCATGTGAATGGTCTCTCTCCAGTGTGGATCATCATGTGTTCATTAAGGTGTGATGAGCAGTTAAAACTCTTCCCACACTGAGTGCATCTGAATGGTTTCTCTCCAGTGTGGATCCTGATGTGTTGATTAAGGTGTGATGAGCAGTTAAAACTCTTCCCACACTGAGTGCAAGAGAATGTTTTTTTACCGGTGTGGATCTTCTTGTGTCTATAAAGTGATGATTTGCTGAAACTCTTCCCATATTGATAGCATGAGAATGGTTTCTCTCCAGTGTGCATCCTCATGTGAGTCTTTAGTTTGCTTTTGCTTGCCAAACTCTTTCCACACTGAGTGCAGGTTAAACAACTCTTGTCTCTCACTTTTAAAATACTATTAGTCACTAAATGAGTTTTGTCCTCAATTTTGACATGATGTTCCTCCTCTTTACTCTCATCGTAGTCTTTAATTAGGTCTGAAATAAAAATAAGTTTACTTTTTAGTAAATCATTAAAACTCTCAGTGAAAAGGCACTTAAAAAAATTCCCATTAGAACAACTTTAATTTATCACACCTGCTTCAAGTTCTCTAGCCACACCCAGACCTGATTACTACCACACACGTTCACAATCAAGAAATCACCTAAATAGGACCTGTCTGACAAAGTGAAGTAGACCAAAAGAGCTTCAAAAGCTAGACATCATGCCAAAATCTAAAGACCTTTAAACACAAATGAGAAAGAAAATACTTATGTCACTAGTTAAAAAAAGAGTGAATGGCTTTTCCCACAGCTGGTGGAGGAGACGAGAGTACGGTTGGAGTTCACTGTAGTGCATACATTTGTTTTTACTGTAAAATCCTCACCGCGTGCGCAGATTTAGGAGACATTTATGCAGAACGCATCTTTGCACCTAAAAGCGCCAAACGCAGCACTCAGGAACAGATTAAAACAGTTGTTATGTGAACTTGAAGTAAAAAAGCCTGCAATGCTTGCCCCGCCTTTGTGCTCTATTGATTGGCTCACTGCTCTACAACTGAATGCAAATGATTGGTTAATATCAGCTGTCAATGACTCAGTCAATGCCTTCTGCCTTCAGATGATAGGATAGATGCGAAAATGTGAGGCACTGAAGATGAGAGAATGAAAATAACAGACAGGTTTACCTTAAGTTATTGATAATGGCGCATCTTATTAGTAATCATGTGCTGAATGTTAATCCACCATTTACACTTTTCCAAGAGTGGATAAAAAACTTCTAGTGGTTTTAAGTCCGCCGGTAACCGTGTTTGGCACTGAACCTACACATTTAAGCACGAGAGGTATTGTATAACCCTTCATTTAATCCTCACGATGCTGTCAGCCTTGCAAGCAGCAGCTATATGTAACATTTAACACAGCTCATAAAAAGACTGTTATTGCTATTACGATGACATGAAAATAATAAGTTATATATCAATATAAATGTGGGGCGGGGCGATGGATCGTGATGCAGGCCCAGCATCGTGAAGTTTGTCGTCCATTGGCAATGGCATCTAAAAAAATAATATAATTGATCAGCTACACTCAACATCATCTTCTGAAGAGCTTCTCAAAAAAAAACTTATTCTGCAAGTGGAATGACTCCTTGAGGATCTCCACATAAGATCACGCCAGATTCATTATGAACATGGTGAACGAGCTGGCAGGTTATTGTGTTACCAACTGAAACAATCCTCAGCAGCTGGCGTTATAGTAGCAGTTAGTAAGGATGATGGCAGTATTATTACAGAACAACAGGGTATTAGTGATCAATTTAAAAACTTCTATAAAACTATTTACAGCTCTAAGGTAAAGGAAATTGAACGTATTGAGAGCTTTTTTAATTATTAAGAATTACCATCCCTCTGTGATTTAGATCAGTTGACAAAAGAAGGAATTTTAACACCTTCTAAAATTAAAAATACAAAAAAAAAAAAAAAAAAAAAAATCAGAAAAGTACCAGGCCCTGATGGCGTTCCGGCTGAGTTTTATAAGAAGTTTTGTGCCAAGTTAACACCCCTGTTGTGCAAGGTATTCGCTAAAGCTCTTGTATCGGAATCACTCCCCCCTTCATGACATCGGCTGTTATAACAGTACTTCTTCAAAAGAGTAAGGATCCACTTAAATGTGTATAAAATCCTGCCAAAAGTGCTGGCAATCAGAGTGGAGTCAGTCATGAGAAAGATAATTCACCCAGATCAAACTGGTTTTATTGTTGGGAGACAGTTATCTTATACCCTTTGTTGCTTATTTAATATTATTTATTTACCTAAAAATAATACCAATCCAAAGGACTTAATTTCTTTAGATGCCCATAAGGCATTTGAAAGAATTGAGTATATCTATTCATTTACAGTGTTTAAAAATTTGGTTTTGACCCTGGACCAAATGGCTTGTTTCCACTGACTGGTACAGTACGGTACAGTTCGGGTCGGTACGGGTCACCTTTACCAGGCTTGCGTTTCCACTACCAAGGGTACCCTTTTAGTGGGCGTGGTGTATGACAAAGTTTCAGTCGACGTCATTTTCGCTCGAGAAAATGTCTACAATAAAGCTGCACAGGTCGTTCACATATCATATGAAAAGCACTTCTCACAAAACAGATGCTTTACACACATAAATACTTGTGTATAAATGTTTATTACTAACTTTTCTATGAACATTAGTTGATTATAACTGCAGATCAATGACGGTGCGAAATAGCCTACTGTAACGTCTGTAATTATATAAAGTAAATAAATAAATGAAGATATATGAACACATACAGACCCTTATAGTCTCTGATATGTTACCAACTACAGAAGAACTACACAAAGCAGACATTTCGTCCTTAATTAAGTTCAAAACAACACAAAGTATAGCCAGGGCCGGAGCAAGCTGAACTGCCGCCCTCAACCCTAATGTGAAAATGAAAGTGACCGGTTATGAAAATGAAGTGAGGTGTCGCAGACCTCTTAATCAGCACACTATGCGCGGATATAACTGAGGACGCGCGGGTGCTGAAGGAGGGAGGGAGGGAGGTGTCGCGGACACTGCGCTCTCTATTCTGCCACCCTATGCGCGGTTGTAACTGAGGACGTGCTGGTGTAGCGGACCTCAATTCTGCCGCCCTATGCACGGATATAACTGAGGACACGCGGGTGCTGATGGAGGTGTCGCTGAGACCGCCCTCTCTATTCTGTCGTCTATGGGCGAATATATCTGAGGACGCGGGTGGTGAGGGAGGTGTCGCAGACATAACTGAGGACGCGGGTGGTAAGGGAGGTGTCGCGGACGCCGCCCTCTCTATACTGCCGCCCTAGGCAGCCGCCTAGGTCGCCTCTATGGGCGCGCCGGCCCTGAGTATAGCCTCCAGTCAGTGAAAACCTCTCATCTGTGTCTGTAATATTCAGTAGCACATGTAGCCTCTGTTAGAGAGTCATTCCATCATTCCCAGTTCATATTAGTCTAAAAGGTGATAATAAAGATTAAGACAAGGCAGTTTGTTCACGTTTGCTGAAGAAATAACGTGCTCCTTGGCTTCGCCTTTTTTCCGCGCCCCACTCCCGCGTTTGTCCTTTTCTTTCTGATTGTGTCACAGAATGTGTCCCGCGTTTGTCAGCTTCTCACAGGACCGTGTTTCCAAACCTGTTCAATAATCAAGCGCATGTTATTATTATCAGCTCAAGAAGTTTGTTATTTCAGATAGAGACGAGCGGCGAGCACAAGGAAGAATGCGAAACCACTCAGGCTTCAGACTGGCTCGTAAAAAACTACGCGACACAGGGTAAATCCGCTCTTCTCCATGGCTTTGTGGCTGTTTATCAAGATGACGACAGGGTTTGTTTGAGCCCGGATCGACCATGGCTGCATATGTATTTATAATTCCGCTGTAATCTCTCGCTGTGTATTTTAAACATGGCGGGTCCGTTATTTAGATTCTGGCTTGTTGTGTCTACGAATGACGTATCTCTGTAAACCAATAGCGTTCAGCTGCGCGTCTAGCTCCGCCTTTTAGGGCCTACTCACACTATGCCATCCGTACCGTGCCCAGGCCCCTTTCCCGGATCGTTTGAGAAGTGTGAGTGCGCTGAATCAGGCTCAAGCACGGTTCACTTGGCTGGCCCTGGCCCGGTTGGAAGAGGTGGGCCTGAGCGCGGTTCACTTGGGCTTTGGCGCGGTACGCTTGTGTGTGAGTACAAAACGCGCCAAAGCCCAAAACTGAAAGCGAGACGTGACTTTTAAGGGACTGTTACATATGGATTTATTAATCATTCTTACTGTTCAGTGAACGCAAACTGCCGTAGTTTATTAAAGACGAGAACTCCTCACAGCACGACAGCTGTGCGCCTTCAGCAGACCTCCTCATTCCTGCAGCACGAGAGCTTTATGATTGTTTATGAGCGCCAAAAGTGGCGGATCTGTTCGGCGAAATATCTGACTGCGTGTCACCGCATCCCTAAGGACTGTTTGGCGAAATATTTGACTGCATGTCACTGCATATCAAACGACTGAAACAACATAACTAGAGAAATCTCCACTGTGCTGCTGAGAGAGCGCTTCTCACTGAACAGCGCAGCAGTGATGACGTAAGCGTGCCCAGGCCCGTTTGTGGTGTGAGTGCGGGCCGTCGGGGCAGACAGGATGGGGGACAAGCGTACTTTGGCCCGGTTCGAGGCAACTTTACCTAGTGTGAGTACGGCCTTAGTGTTTGGGACCCTTTCAAAAGGGTGCCAAAAAAGTGGTACGGTACGGTTTGGTTTGGTACGCCTTTTAACAGTGGAAACGGCCATAAAAGCGTACCAAACCGAACCACTTAGTGGAAACGGTCCATAAGAGCTTGATTAACATGGTAAACAATATAGAGTCTTCTAAATGAATGAATGTGCGAATATAAAACCAACTTTACCGCTATATGACTGAGTTGGTGTTTGAGAATGAAAACCAACCTGTTTGTTCCTGCAGATCTTCCTGTTTGACTGTGAATGTCTCTTCAATCTTCACATCTTCACTCTCCTCTTTAATAAACGCCATCTTTATAACAGTGTGGAGATCAGTCGCTTCAGCAGGATTTTTTTCTCTGTGTTTGGACACTTTATCCTGTTTAAAATAAACAAAACAATAAAAATGTCCTGTTTAAATAAATAAAAAAAAAATTAACAGAAATAAAATAACTTCTCTTCAACACTTGCTTCAACAGTTACAAAAACGAAATCAGGTATGTCCAAGCATAGAGGTAAAGTTGGTTTTATATTCGCACATTCAGACTTTTCTCTTAATAATATAACTTCATGAAAAAAGTATTAGCAAACTCTA